GTGTACATTTGTGTGTTTATTGGGGTGTGTGTGTGTGTGTGTGTGTGTTTATTGATTGTGTACGTTTGTGTGTTTATTGGTGTGTGTGTGTGTGTGTGTGTGTTTATTGATTGTGTACATTTGTGTGTTTATTGGTGTGTGTGTGTGTGTGTTTATTGATTGTGTACATGTGTGTGTTTATTGACAGTTGTGTTTCTTTATTGACTCTGTGTGTGTGTGTCAGACTGTCTATTGACTGTAGGTGTGATTGACCATGTGTGGGCCTATACATGTATATATTATATTGCATTATATATGTGTGTGTGAGCGAGTGTTTGACTTTGTGTGTATGTGTGTGAGTGAGTGTTTATTGACTGTGTGTGTGTGAGTGAGCGTTTATTGACTGTGTGTGTATTTTTATTATTTATTATTGACTGTGTGTGTTAGTGTTCATGGGCTGTACGTGAGCGTGCGTGTTCATGAGCTGTACATGAGTGTGCGTGTTCATGAGCTGTACGTGAGCGTGAGTGTTCATGGGCTGTACGTGAGCGTGAGTATTCATGGGCTGTACGTGAGCGTGCGTGTTCATGAGCTGTACGTGAGTGTGCGTGTTCATGGGCTGTACGTGAGCGTGCGTGTTCATGGGCTGTACGTGAGTGTGAGTGTTCATGGGCTGTACGTGAGCGTGAGTGTTCATGGGCTGTTTGTGAGCGTGAGTGTTCATGGGCTGTACGTGAGCGTGTATAGTCATGGTCACGTCCACTGTGGGTAAGGAAGGGTTCAGTTACATTGTAGTTCATTCCAACTAACGCGTCAGACTAAGCCTGCTGGGAAGGTTGTCCGGGCAAAGTACCAGTGATGTGAGCTTTGGAGTATGCCACTGCTCACAGTTCGAGTGACAGAAGTGTGTCTACTTTCATGCTGTGAGTTCTGTGTGTCTATTTTCATGCTGTGAGTTCTGTGTGTCTACTTTCATGCTGCGAGTTCTGTGTGTCTATTTTCATGCTGTGATTTCTGTGTGTCTATTTTCTTCATGCTGTGATTTCTGTGTGTCTATTTTCATGCTGTGAGTTCTGTGTGTCTACTTTCATGCTGTGAGTTCTGTGTGTTTACTTTCATGCTGTGAGTTCTTTTCAACCTTGGACGGTAAGCTGGCCATCATTGTACATTTGTATATGCCTGAGTCTGTGTGTGAGGTGTTTTTATCGTGAGGCTCATGTGAAAAATGTATTCTTGTGTATGACCATCTGGGATGTGATAGTGTGTCAGAGCTTAAAACTTAAATAAACATAAATTTCATTACACTTCTCTCATATTGAGCGTTGTGTATTATTGTAGGCTACATGGTACGAGACGACAGGTCATTTTGTGGGTGTTTGGAGGGCACCACTGGTAGGTCCTACTTCATTTCTTTCCCAGTTTGTTTGTTTTTCTGCTTTTTCTCCGGCACAGAATTTAACCATTACTGTGTCAAAGAGCCCTTTTTTGGGGGGTTTTAGTACGAGTTTTACGGCACTTGCAACACAATAAGGTCATATAAGTGCCAAAGATTAGAGGTGTTACAAGAGAGTAAACAACACAAAAAAGGAGAGATGAGGACAATAGATCTTTGATAGGAAAGGAGGAGCAAACCACACCAGAGCACTCACCAACCACCCACGCCCTTTTTTCTCACTCTCCCAACAAACTGGTCCTTCTAGCCCATCCTATGTGAGCCCTACTTTAACTTTTCTACATGTCATGTTCCAGAGATGGGACCTTCAACCAGTCCAACAGACCTTCGGCAACACACCTCACAATTAGGCCTACATGTATATCTCACAACGTCCACTTGCAAACAAAAATCTGAGAGAAATCTCGAAAAAGTTGTAAACTTTTATTTTTTTAAAACTTTTAATAAACAAGAGTTCTTGCTACCATAGACGCATGATAGGGACAATGAGTAATGAAGGACAGATAAACGGTACAAGTGGTGGGTAGTGTAGTAGGAACAGGACGCAATGGAGACAGACACACATACATACACATACTCACAGACCAGTCAACGTCACACAGATCCACAGATATTGTTTTAGTTTTACAATAAAAATAAAAACAAAACAAAAAAAAAAAACAAAAAAAAGTGCTGCAAGTCATCAAAATGTGTCTATTGTTGATTTTGGGTATAGACTATAGGAAATCTGATCTAGAACTATCTGCACATACTTGGCTTCACTTTACTTCATCCCAATCTGGGAACATCAAGATTTTATAGAGGGCTATTTCCTTGGTCTTTTCTAGGATCTGATGGGCCTGAGCATGACTACTTTCACTTTGAGCCTAGTGTAGAGGGAACATACACCTCTGTGTGCACGCTGGTGCTTCTCTAGCGGTGGACACACAGGCGCTCATGTCTACAGGTCTGGGAGAGGGGGGCATACAGAGATAAAGAGAAAGCCTTCCAGCTGTTGAGACGACGGGACACTCAACGTCAGGATAACGCCGGTCCGAGGCATCATGCCATCTTCCCTCCCCATAACCCCTTGCATTGTAGGCCTACATGGCATTTTTAGAGAGTGCTACAGTTACATTCCTTTCTCCAGAAGTCACTTTCAAAAGCAGCAACTTTCTTCTTTTGTAAAAGCCCAATGCATATATATAAAAAGAGTGCTAATGAAATATGGTCTCCCATTGCTGAACAAGCGACAATGAATTTACATTTGATGACAAAATCTTACAATATCCTGCTGCAAGTTCATGCGTAACATCGGATAAAGTTTCAACATACATTGATACATGGTACACATCATAGTAGACAATCCTGCTTCATGGCAAAACGCCACTATTTCACAACAGCGTTACACAAACAATAAATCTCTAAGCAGTACAACACACCATAGTTCAGAGTAAACAACTAGCAACAACTGAGAGGAACAAACAAAAATGCAGTAAGATGGTAAAAAAATGGACATGAGATATATATATATATATTTATTTATATATATACCATAAACAATTTCATGCAAAAGAGAACGGTGCAGCGTGGACCGGCCCCGGATGTGTGAGGGGACCGGATGGCCAGCTGGCCGTGTACCCCCCGTGCTATGTCTAGTACTAGGAATAAGAACATTCATCATCTCATAGCTACAATCTCCGTGTCCCTGACAAGAGTCTCTCAGGCCAGCACAAGGGTAGCACATGCAACGACCACAGAGCCAGAAATATGTACAAATTTCCTCCCCCTAGTTGCCCAAGCAAGTAGCTCAATACTGCGTGCAGACGGGGAGGGGAAGGTGGTGACCACAGACACACATCTCCCTGCCACCGTGGCTCAATCTCTCGCCTCAGACCAACACAATTTGGGGACAGGAGGCCACAAGTCAATTCTTCTACATTTCATTTGTCACGAGAGTAAAGAAATCATTTCTTCCAACAAAAATTAAAAATTCACTCAATATTACAATACCATACGTCACACCAATGCCAAAATACAAGATTTTTGATTAGCAAAATGTGAAGTTTCTCTTCATAAACTTTCCAGAAAGTAGAGACATGACTGCGACCAAGCACATTAACAAGAGCAAGCAATAACACTGGTAAATGCAACTGCAGTATTCCTGTACTGTAAGGAGAGTAGAAGGAGACCAGAGTCATTGTACTGTGACAAAAACCAAAGTCATTGTACTGTGACAAATACCAAAGTCATTGTACTGTGACAAATACCAAAGCCATTGTACTGTGACAAATACCAAAGTCATTGTACTGTGACAAATACCAAAGTCATAGTTCTGTGACAAAACAGACAACCCACAGACATGGCCCAGCTCACT